GGTCACTTTTGTCACTACTCTGTTTCCATGTCTACATTTTCACAACCAGCCCTCTCACAATCTGTGGTGGGAGGCAGGCATGAGCCTAACAAGTCCTCCTATTATAAACAATAACTTCTATACTGCTAGACTAAAAAAAAAATCACATTAAAGAGCTAAAATGTTATGTTTAGAAACTGGGAAATTAAAATGCTAAAAAATTTAAATATTTAATGAATTAAAAAAATACCTTCTAACCACAACACAGCCACACCTTGGCCTCTACTCCACTGTGCAGTGCATCCCATGTCTGTAACCTCATGCAGCCCTGAACTAGAATTTCAGACCTTGGCGACTATTTGCTTAATGAGACAGACTCACCTCTCTGTGCAGCTGGGACACCTGAGTTAGCACTTGCACTCTCCAGGTGTTCTAATAAGACAACATGAACAACATTAGCTTGGGGCTGGGTGCAAGCCAGCACCTCTTCTTGCTGTTTGTTAATGTCTTCTATCAGCCAGAAGAATAGGAGTAACCCTTATGGCTTCATTATAAAAGAAACCAAATAGAAGCATTTAGGTTCAAAAGGCAGTTTCTAATGATTTGAAACTAGTCCAGTTAATAAACACCATGCCAAGGAAGACTGCTTCCTTACTATAACAGAAAACGAGTTTCAGAAACTTTAGTCACAAGAAAATATAAAATAGTAACAAATGTTAGTAGGATAACAGCAAAATGTAAGACTGGACAGAGAAAATGTGCTGGGTAGAATATCTGAAATGAAACATGGAAGGGACATGTTCGTGGGTAAGAGCCAGTAAGGCTAAAAGTTATAAACAAGGTAATGACCTGCTTGGCTGATCAGCACCAGCTGCTTCCCCAGCCTAACCTTTCTCCTGGCCACCAACCTGGCCCTCTGACTTAACTGTCAACAGCACTCTCTGATGGTAAGAGGCTTTGTGGTCTCCAGAGAAACAACCAGGAATCCTTAAGTAGAATCACTGCCTTTTCAGTTACCTCATGAGACTGGCACCTGAACTCTTCCCAGATGTTTTATGTATTTAGTATCTACATCTAAGGCACTGTACAAATCTAAACAGTACTACAAAAAGTCATAATATATTTTTATACAGATGCTCTACTCATACTAGCATATCTGAGTTTTTATTTCAAAGATTTTTACAACTGAAAGAACAGTGCTGCCAATTTAGAAACAACTCATGAAAAACATGGAAGATAATTTGGTCCAGTTTTTAAAAACTGTAAACTAAATAAGCACATTTTTCCATGTCTACTTAGTTGTTGATCGTTTGGTGCTATTTTTAAATTAAGAAGTTAACTATTCAAAATAATGATTCCTATAGAATGGTTGGTTCTCCTAAGTGGAAATGACCGCTGAGAGTCCTCTGAGCACAGAGCTCACTAGGAAGAGGACTGCTGGATGGGGTCCCTGAAATGTCTGTAAGGATACATGCTGTGGACATGCCCTGACCATTATGTCTGCAGGCTACAGATTTAACCGGACGTAGTCCTCCTGACTCAGAAACTTGAGGAAATCTGGAAGTCCAGGAGGAGATGGAGGCTTCAGAAGATCTAAACAGACAGGACACTCAGAGGCTCACCAAGTCTCTAGGGACAGCTAAGGACAGGAGAGTCTCAATGCAGAGACTGGACATCAACTAGCCTACTCCAGAGTTATGAATGCTGGAACAGTTCCAGGGTTCTAACAGGTGACTGTCTAGGGCAGTACAGACTCAGCAGGTATACAATGAAGCCAGATGTGGTGGTGCATGCCTCTAAGCCCAGCACTTTAGAGGCAGGGCATGAGGATCTCAAGTTTGAGGACATCCTGGGCTACACAGAGATACCCTCTCTGAAAAAAACAAGGGCTGAGGATGTAACAATAACAATAAAAAGGTGTCAGGGAGGGAAGGAGGGAGAGATTAGGAATTCTGTATTTTTTTGAAGTGCAGTGTTGGGGCAATGGGTAAACTAATTTTGAAAACCACCAGAATGCAATTCTCTTCCATAACACAGTGCTATCAGGGTCATGATGGTCCCCAGTAGCAACTGCATGTGATTTAATGGCAAAGGCACAGGGAAAGCGCTCCCTTAAATATGGAGTATTCATCCCCTTCTCTAAGCCAAGTGGAAAAACAAGGTACAAAACAATATGCAGTGCTTGTGTTCTAAAAACTATCTTTGCCACACAGGCAACAAGCTATTAGGAGTAGCCACCTCTTGGTATGGAAGGAAAATGAAGGGAGCTTGATTTTGCACTACATGATTTTTATGGGATTTGAATTGTTCACTGTGCAATTACAACTTTTTTCCTCAAATCTGTATAAAGGATGACGACAAGGACCAGAGGATGCTTATTCCCCGACTTCAAATAGAAAACGCTTTTAAGTTAAAATCTGAGAAACTGGAGATAACTTCAGAAGGGTTGAGGAAGATTTGTTTTCATCGTGTTGAAGAGTGGTTACCACTTAACATACTTGCTATGAGCCTAACTTTACTTTCCCTTACAAAAAATGCTCAAAATGAGGTGATCCAGGCAGCTGATGAACACTGGTACCACAGGCTGGTTTACAAACCTTAAATGAAATAGCTAAGGACCTTGGACTCTCAGCCCCTCTTGTTCCTTCTCCTTATAGTTTGGTGTCCTAGGTAATAAATCTTTCAAAAGATAAGGGACTGCAGCTATAAGTAGTCTGGCTTACTGACAAAATGGTAACTGTGATTCAAAGAAATAAACAAGCTGGGTGTGGTGGCACATGCCTGAAATCCAAGCACTCAGGAGGCTAAGGCAGAAGAACATTGAGTCTGAGGCCAGTCTGAACTGCATCGTGAGGCCAGGTCAGCCTGGGCTATGTACTGAGACCCCCACTTCAAAAAAAATAAGGCTGGAAGTAAGACTCAAGTGGTGGAGCCTTCAAACCTCAGTACCGCAAAGAAAAAAAAAAAAAAGAAAAAGAAATGAACTAAAGAACATGCAATCTGTAGGCCAAAACTAAATAAAAGACATAGATTTCATTATTCAAAAGATAGAAATGTCACTGGAAGTCATTTGGGCTTGGAGTTAATACGCAGTGTGTTCCTTTTATATATCTAGGTGGAAGAGTTTGAAACAAATGCTTCTCACATTAGAGCCTCATTCCATCTACAAAGAGAACCTCTATCAAGCTACACAAACGTCAACTCCCTTATAATTTCCTTTTACATGTAACACAAGCAACAGGTGGATTGGTGGTTTTGTTAAGAAAGTCACCATTAAGTGATAACCCTGTCTTTCCCAAATAAACAGCCCTAGAAACTTATCAAAGCAAATAGATTATTTACTTCAGCAACATTTAGCAAGCCCTGGGTCTAACGGTGCAGAGAGGGAAACTAACCCAGTTCAAGAGCCTTTTAGTAGAAATGTAACATGGCCAGGGTTCTTCCTCCTTCAACTTCATATGCTCCAATACTGATAAAGTCTGAGACTTCTCTACTCTTCTGAATAATTTGTCATAATCAATGACAAGGGTATGGGTTCACTGTAGCTAGGGTTTCCCTGGTTTGGATGTTTATCTACTCTAACACTTGTGTTAAAACTTAATTGCCTTGTTAACAGTATTAAGGGATGGGACCTTTAAGAGGTGATTAAGGGCTCCATCTGGTACCATGGCAAAGAGCAAGTTGGGTCCCTTCACTCTCTTTCTGCCCTTCCTCCAGGTGATGATGCAGCAAGAAAACTTCAATTTAGGACGTCCCAGTCTCCAAATCTAAGCCTATGGACTTCTGTTCTTCATAACTTTCCCAGCCTTGGGTTTTCTGTTTTAGCATCACAAGGTGGACTAAGACAGCTGTCACAGTCTGCTAACTTTTGACTATCCACTTTTTATCATTAGAATTTACAGACCATCTTTGTTCTGAATAATTTTTAAAAACTGAAGCAATCTTACCTGAGCATCTTTTAAAAATTACGAAAACTGGAAAAATTCCTACAAGTAAGATTCTCTTACAGATTAAAATATATGCAACCTAAGTCTTTCAATTCTGTTTCATTTTCACATTTAAACATTCTCATTTTTAAGTTCCTATAACCAAAACTGTGATTTATGATGGACGTATTTCTATCAATCTACAATGCACTGATGGGCTATGTCTTATCTGGCTTAATTCCAAAGTTAAACAAATGATCAATGGGAACATTCAGTAAAAACTATCCATAATGGTACTCAAATGGATTGATAATGAAATTGCCATATTATAAATTATTAAGGAATAGAGAAAAATAGAAAATAGCTTCACAGTTCACATGGGAAAATCCAACCACAAACAGGAAATGCACACATTAGATAGCAGACAATTATCTGGGTGACAGACTTCCAAGTGGAGATATGCAACACCCTAAACCACTCGTCTATTCCTTTTCAGGCCCCTTCTTATCTGTTCCTGCTTCCCTATCCAGCATACACTTGTCCTCTCACTACTGTCTTCTGTCCAGAATCCAATTTATCTTCCTTTGCTGTTTACAGCCTCTCCTTCTCTGGACTATGCTATCCTCCAGCTGTCCAAGGAGTGCTGGAAGGTGCAGGCTCTTCCCCAAGTCTCCATCCCTCCCCTTCCTGCCTTCCCATGTCTCCAACGAGGGTGAAGTTTCTGCATGTTTTCCTCTCCTTACCTTCTGCTTCCTTCATTCTGTGCCTTGTTAGCATCTCTCTCCTTTCAAAGCCTGCCACTGTTTTGGGCATCCACTAATGTGAAGAGCATTGACAGTTTTCTTTATTGCTGCTACCATTTGGTCATAATGACAAAATATACAGTCTTTTTATAAAACAAATAGCCTGTTACTATATAAAGATATTTCTAGTTAGTATAAAGAATTACATCTCGTTGTTAAGAATTCAGAATCATTAGAAGGAAAAATAAAAGCTAACTTTCATAGTTTTTAATAGGTTTATATTTTGAATTGCTAGTTTATAATAATGTTAGATAAGTCATTAAAGTGGAACAAATTGTCTTTTAAATTCAGATTTGGTTTAACAAAAAAGAAAAAGTAATGCTTATAGCCTAAAATGAAAATAAAAACCTTTTGCTGTGGATAACTAGTTAAAGAATACAACACATTGTAAGTAAACATCAACTTGCTTTCTTTTCTATCAAAAGCCAGATATTAATGTAACTGACTTGACTAATTAGTCAGAGCTGATGTTACAAGAGGCTCCTGTCAGCCTACACTTCCTCTGAATGTGAGGGAGTCACCAGCACAAAACAAAACGAAAGCAGGTGACCAGATGGATGTAAGGAATGCTCTTCAGTATCATTTTATTCAACAGTATATAAAAACTGAATTCTTGGTCAGGCGCAGTGGTGCACTCCCAGATACTCAGGAGGCAAAGCCAGAAAGCTGACAAGCTAGAGGCCAGACCAGGCCGAGTTAGGGACACCCTGCCTCTGAAACAACATATGGCTAGAGTGGTACAGCTCTGGGTTTAACAGCCATGCAGAAAAAAAGAAAAAAAGGAACCTAACTTCCTAATTAAACTTTTTGAAAACTTCAAACTACCAGTATTTTAATGAAAACAGTTTATAGTCTATGATTTACACACAATTGTCTAATTTCAGTTTATAAGCTCCATAACATGGTAACTACTATGTCCAGATTTATGACTTCAGACTTTTAAAGTAATATGCTATTCTTTTACAAAACTGACATGCACAAAATTCCTGAGATTGGGTGCACCGTCTGAGAAAATCTTCTGATGCTGCTGCTCACCCTGACCGTCTCTGCTCAGATTTTCTGCTTTTACTCTACTATCTCTCTTTTCTGTATGCATTAAAGTGTCAAGAAATTGCGTTCAGAAAAACCTAAGTGTGGATATTAATAAGGAAAAAACATTATGAAAGTGGTATAAAACTTGCTGTCACCATGTTCTTTTCTCGTGGCACAGCCTCACTGGGAGCACACCATCTATGATCCTCACAGTATTCACCAAGGAGCTTTGATGGCCCTCAGGTGATAGGCAATCTTTAAGAAATTACTGAAGCTCAGCACCTTTTCATACTTCAAATTAAAAAATCAAGATAACTAGCAAGGTAACACCAAATCAACCACAGAGTTGATATATCGTTGTTACCTTGAAAGATAAATCAGGATATAATAAATGATGGAAGAAACAGTGAACACGGATGGACAATTCCACCCAGGCTTGCTCCACCCAGGGAGTTAAGAAACGTGGAATTGAAGCGTCATTTCATGTGACACTGACATATTTTCCACAAGAAAAAGGTAATGAAGGGTTTATCTACAAGAGAAAACTGTTAATGAACAGACTGTGCTCAGCCCTTTAAACTACTCACCCTGTCAACAGAAAAGGAAATAAATCATCCTACTTCTGATAAGATCATGAGTGGAAACTAGAATTCAAAGTTCTTAGAATATTTTAAGAAGGAAAAAACTATCAGTTGGATAACCAACTTAACAAAAGTGTAGTGTATATTTATTTGTCAGGTGTGAGTAACTGACTCTTAAGCCTCTTAAGGTTCACACAAGAAAGCAGACAAGTCTCCAGACTCACTCCTGACACTCTCATTTTCCTTTCCTGCCTACTTCCTGTGAATGGAAGTTTGGATTTTTACAGACACTTCTCTCTCTATTAAACACTTTCTGTCATGTTACAGCACACAGTTACTCCACTCACTTTAAACACCATTTCTACATTCTTCAGATCGTTCAAAACCCATCTTACCCTCAAACCCTTCCAAGATAATTTGAAATAACCTTTTGAGATACATTAACCCACTTCCTAAAAGACTTGAGGAAGTAAAGACAGTGAGTAAGCATGCAACACAAACGCAATTTACAAAACTGTTTATGAGAAAGTACAGACACACTTTAAAGTGTCTACTGAGGATTTTAAAATATAACATTCAAGGGAAGTTTTGCAGTTAAGCACTCGCATAAAGGTTTGCATATATGTTAGCATTTGATACTGATGATGATGATGATGATGATAAGGGTGACAACGCTCCAATTCAGCAGCCTCCAAACTTCTGAAGCCTTTCCTCAAAAAAATACACAGAAAACCAATGTGAAAAAGGCACTGAACTGGAGCTGCTCCCACCCTCCTGGGCTCCCCTCCCTGAGGCCCCCCTGCGAAACATCTATGGGCTAGAAGGGCAGAGCTTAAGAGTTATTGATTTAATAGATTAGAAGCCCCTTGAAAATATTCAACAATTATAAGATCAAGGTGACCTTGGGCACTAATTCAGACTTTGATTTACTTTCTTCTTTTTTTTTTTTTTTTTTGTCTTTTCTTTTTTGGTGCTGGGATCGAACCCAGGGCCTCACGCATGCTAGGCAAGCGCTGCACCACCGAGCTACATCCCAGCCCTTGATTTACTTTCTTAATCATATGATCATGTTAAGAATTGAACCACAAAATAAAAAAGCCCAAGGAATTACAAAATTTAAAAGGCTAGAGGAAAGCTTAACCCTTCTACCTTTTACACATGAGAAACTAAGGCTTAGCAAGGTAAGGTTGCTGGCTCCCAGTCTCATACCACATGGCAGAAGGGCTGAGAGAGCCACAGCTGTGGCTTTTCACGCTACCTCAGACGCCTCCCAGGATGCCTAAAATGAGCTCTGAGTATTTTCCTAGCTTGTTCAAATGTGATTCATTCTACTCAAATGTTTTCTAGCTTGTTCTTTAGTTCAGAAAATACCATTTTATACTAATGACCACATAAGCATTAAAATTACCTTGAAACATTTTGAAAGTTCTCAGAATGGAAAAGGCACAAACTAAAGAGCTCAGGTCTACTCAGTGGTATTAACAACATGGTAAATACAGAGAACCTACTCCACTAGTACTTTTGTTGGTTAGGTTTTAGGGAAGGTTTTGTTGTTCCCATTTCAGGTAAAGAAAAGTGGTCCCATAAGTGATTCGGAAGTAATGCTGTAGAAATACAAGTTTCTCTATAAAGTAGGTATTGAAAACAAACAGCTATCTAGTGAGTTCAAGGAAGATTCTTAACAGTAATGTTTTCTATTCTAGGTGTTATATTTAATTCAGAAATTACCTTTGAATTTGATTCTCTGATTCTCCCCCTCTATTCACTCAAGGAAGTTAAAGGATGCTAAAACTCTCTATGGAGTTCTTTGGGTGATGACTGGAAGGAAAAATGGCCACATTCACCAGTTGAGAAAATATGTTACCTTTTCATCTTTAAAATATGAAACAAATGTATTTTCTTACAGAGACAGGCCTTGGCACTGATGTAGCAAAGAATTCTATTGATGTAGACAGAGTGAATATAAAACTATTCTGTTTTATACTCAATCTGCTATCACATAAAATAATTAGCAAAGAGGAATAACAAAATAATTTCACTTGTATTATAAAACATAAAAATTAGAATAGTTGGTTTGATTTTTAAATAAAAAATACATCATTTCTTGGATTAAACACTTTAGGAAAAATATAAGCAATACTTACTGAATTTACATATTATAAGATTAGGTATAGCAGCTTTGAAAGTTTTATAATGAAAATGACACTGAAATGAGAAGGAAATTAAAAATACTTTCTCCGATTCTCCTCCACAGACTGCACAGATTAAAGGAGATTTACTGCTCTAAGATAAAATTATTTCATCTTTGAAAAAATAGCACTTTCTCATCAATACACGGCAAAGCTCTTCAAGGATAGCCCCGGCTCACTGCGCCGCTACCCCTAAACCTTCCCAAGCATCTTCTGAAGAAAATGAGCATCTGGAGTCTGGAAAATCCAAAAATTTTTAAAAGGTTTAGATTGTCACTGGAAAAAGCCTTACCAAATGCACTATGTGTGAATAGTGACACTGTGAAACCCATGTCTTTAAGAATAAAACTTCAATGCGTTTGAGGTTTGAGAATGGAACAACATGAAAATTACCTTCATAATTTGAAGTTTCTTGAGGAACCAAAACAAGAACACTACTTCCTCCCATTTATGAACATGGAGAAGCATACAATGAAGGAATGAAGGGTAAATCTTCTTGAGATTAGGAAAGGCGTCTATAAGAAAGAGGTAAAGGAAGGAACTAGAAGATGCAGTTTTCTACTGACCAACCTTTAACTGGTGGAAAAGGATGAGGAGGAAGTGAGTCTGAACAGAGCTCCAACGGAAACTGCAGAAGTTCTTCATTATCTGTGGAAGCTTGAGAGGCGAGGAGGACACCAGTGATTTAGTGACAATCTATGGTTAATTCTTTCAAATTAAGAACCTGTGATAACATTGTCTCTGTGTGTGTGTGTGTGCACGCCCACGCGTGCACGTGTGTGTCTGTGTCTGTGTGTGTGTGTGTGTGTGTGTGTGTGTGTGTCTGTGTGTGTTCTCCCTCCCGTGCCCCAATTTATTCTGGCAATTTTCTTCCTGGTTTCTTCTCTGGTGACCTCCTCTGCATGACATGGAGAGGTGCTACCTAAAGAGTACCTGCAAGCCACTAGCATTATTTAACCTTTACACAGTGAGCGCTCAGTAATATAGTTACTATTATCCTTGTCTTCATATCTACTAGTTTCTAAGATTCTTAAAACAGCTTCTTATCTATCTTTGATAAATATCTAAATATGTAATTATTTAATACATCTGCTCAACATTAGCTCAGTGCTCCAATCATACCAATATCATATAGGCAGGATGTCATCAACTTTAAAACGTTTATGCTAATCATGAATACTTTAGTTAGCCAATGGGTCACTTAAACTTTATAAAGTATTATATTACTTCCCTGATTTTTGATGAGAACAGTTTCTGATAATTTGTGTTTCTTTGTAATGTATTAACAGTGGTACTTCCCAAATTCTACTAGATTAAGGACACCTCTGAAGAACCTTTTAAAAACAATAGGAATTTTCCTGAGAAAAACACAGAAGCACAGAGTCTTGCTGTATCAGTGGGTTTCATGTGCTGGCCCTTATCTGGCCACACAGTTACCTCAATGAGGATGGGCAGAAAAAGTGGTAAATACCTCTTCAAGAAACAAGTCACTATGTGTTCTACCTGCCCTCCATACTTTAATACTTTACTGAAATATGATGCAGACAAGCATGAGCTATGTCCATCCAAATGCTCACCTCTTTGTAGTGGCTTTTCAACGTGAGTTTTTGCAGTCTGTAAAGCCTGATTTTTGTCAAAAGTTATTGCAACAGCTGTGACTGTAACCTAGAATTACAGACACAAACAGTATTAACAAAGTAATCACTGCCAAAATATTTCTTACACATCTTTCTCTGTACCATGGGGCAATCTAAATCAATTGGCTAATATGCCTTTCCTGGTTAAGATGCTCAATCAGAATTATATTTAAGTTCAAATACTCAGCCTGTATAGTTAAACCTGCATATTTCAGAAAGAGGTTGGGGGCTTCCCTAAAACCTGGGAACAGGTAAAATCCTATGTGATGCACACTTACCCTATCAAATTATGCTGGAACAAAGGGGAATCTGTCTTCAAATAACCAGAACTCAAAACAACAAAACAGGTGGCCTAACTCATACTAAAATGTATGTTTTAAGCTATTTTGAGGTAAAATAGTATATACTTAAGTTATTTAATCATAGCAAAATTGTAATACTAACACAGATTAGAAAAAAGCTAGAAACCTTCTTTTATAATAGGAGAAACTGTAATTACCTGAATTAATTCATCTTCAGGCAGAGATACTGTAAAATTTACATGGCAAAGGCAGCAGGGAATCATAGACCGTAGTTTGAAATACAGGCTCTACACAATAAAAAAATATTAGCATTGTATTACTAACAAAATATTTTAGCAATAAAAAGCTATTTAAAAAATAAATTTTAAAATTCATGAAAGCTGATTTTCATAATGTACATTATATTATGATAAATGAGAAGTTTAAAAGACTGAAACACTAGTTTCAGTTTATTCTTACATTAAGAATACATTTTAGGATTGAAGCAGACAGTACAACTTAATCATATTTGTCAGTAAATCACAAAAACAATAGGCTTTTAAAAAATTCACACTTATATACTATGCTTTTGTGAAATTTCAAGCTATTATCTAACTCAACTGCTTTTTTCTTTATAATAGAATGTCTTACGAGGACGAGGTACATTAGCATCTTGCCTTGTCTAATAACACAGGTGAGATTGACAGGTATTCCAACAATGTAGCCCGCAACTGTCTACAGTAGTACAGACAAGACAGATGCTTTTCTTTTAACATTTCATGGTTCTCAGGACCTTTACACATTAAAGCCCTGTTTGAGGTTCTTACCTTGAGCAAATTCTCACAGAGGTCATTGAAGTTCTTATTCAGTGCTTGGTTGGTCAGGTTAAGGCTGCTCAGTCTGATCACTCTCACTGACGTGAACATCTAAGTGTGGAGACACAGCAGACTATTTTACCATCCATCACTAAATACCATAACAACTGGTAAATGGACACACAATGGATGACAAGTAACCAACGGGGTGTGAAAAAGAAAAGGTTTTGTAACTGCCATTAGGAGGGCCAAAAGAAAAAGAGATATTTAAGTGTATCGACTAAAACAACATATGCAGTTTGCTTAGAATTAATCAAAGGTTTACCTGTATTTCTGATGTCCAATTATTTATACCAGGCATAATTTCTGTATTGCAACTATAAAAGCCTGACAAAACAAATTAGATACACAACATTTTATTGATTTTGTGTAAAGGAATAACATTTTTAAATTATTACATGAAATTTCAATTATAAAACTTTTTATTTTTTTTATAAAACTGTAGTTTCAGGAGACTTTAAAACATTCTAATAAATTATAGTTTTTCTTTTCATGTATAAAACCTAACAGAATTTAATTCAGATTCACCTAAATCCTAATGTAATTTTTTTTTTAGCACTGAGGTTTGAACTCAGGGCCTCACACATTCTAGGCAATCACTCTACCACTTGAGCCATGCCCCTGGCCCTAACATAAACATCTTTAAGCAATATGTTCCAAGACTTTTTTTAATTTACTTTTTTTATTATATTATTGTTGTACTAGGGTACATTGTGACATTTACAAAGGTCCTTATAATGATGGCTGAATTCACCCCCTCCAATTGAAGCAGCCAAACACATGGTACAATGTGACACTGAGGAAGCCTTAAAAATAAGGTAAGCTATGGAACAAGTATGAACCAAAATACTGATCTAGAAGACTTGCTTCATCTAGAAGGTAATTCTTCTCTGCTCACCTGAAGGAGGAGGAACATCAGTGAGGAGAGAATGGACATCTTCCATGGCATCAGTGTCATCAATCTGAATGCAAAAGGATGAAAACTATTACACACTAGCAGTAAATATGTAACTAGTTCAAATTTCTAAAAACTACTTTCATCATTTATTAAGAGCAAACCTTAAGAATGAAGAAAAAGCAGGGCCATTTTCCCTAATGTAAAATATATAGCTTGGGAAAATTCTATCAGCAAATTTCTCCGCAGTAATGATTACAAATACTTCTAAGTGAGTATTTTACATATTAAAATATGTTGAGTTAACAACAAACGTAGACTTCTCGAGCTTTTATAAGAACATGTTTCAAGACTTACAAAAACACCACAAGCAACCATTATCCCACTTTATTTAAACTAATAAAATGTAACTAAAAGAATCATTGATTAAACAGAGCTGCTTTCCAATGGAATTAAGTAGGGATAAAATGTCAAGGCATAATTAGACCCTGGTGTTCTTACATCACAACATTCCATTGTGAGTAACAGTGAAAACCTGCAGCTGGACAGACACAGACAGCCACCTGTGCTTGGGGCCTGAGCCCCACTTGGCAGATCTCTGAACTGCCTCTCCCCTGATGGTAGGGACTTGATCATTTTCCTTTGCTTAGCGACCCAGAGTAGTGGTCATTATTCCCTGAACACTCCCCAAGCAGGACCTCGAACTGTTCACCTCCAATCTCCTGCCTCTGTCCCTTCTCCTGCTGAGTCTTTGCCCACATGTGAAGCACTTTTGCTTTGTGTGCCTTTGCTCAAACAGAACTCTGGGACCAGACATACCAAAAATGCTCTAGATCTAACCCGGTAATGCTCAGACACCTGGAGAGTGTTCAACATTTCCTGGGCCCCACCTTGAAATTCTCTTTTAGGAGATCTGGTAGGGATCCAGGAATCCACATCTTGCACGCTCCGAGGCAGTACTAAGGCTATAGGCAGTCATTATGTTTTGCACAGCATAGCTCTAAACAGCTGTCTGGAGCCTTTACCACCCGGCTCTGTTTTATCTACTCTCAGACTATAGAAAAATGGAAAAGAAAGGCATAAAGCGAGAAAATGGATTGTCTGAAGCTAACACTTTCACCTCAGGCCATGTGCTTCTCTCATGGCTGACATCTCATCATGGTCACTGGTACTGTTCCAGACTCTAATAACCCTTCATTCACCCCCAACGCATATCCTCTACCAGCTTCCTGATTTACTGACATCAGCATATCAGGGTTTTTTTCATCTCATCTTTCACTGTCTGACATTTCTTTGACTTTCTTTTCCTTCAATATCAAAAGGAAGTTTTCTTCTCTTTCTCAAAACTATTCTACAGAGAAGGATGGGGGAGCAGGTTTGTGAGGGAGAAGGCAACATGTTCATTCTCTATAGAGTTACTCAAATATCCTAGGCATCTTTTTATAAAGAAAGATCAGCTCTGTCTTCTGTTTTCAGCAAGAAAACAGTACACTCAGTATTTGCAGTGTGAACAACACATTATAGTGTATGTAACACATGAGACAATGTTATTGTCAGAGTAACATTATCATAAAAACCAGGTAATTGAGTAGGTTAAAGAATAGCACATTAAATTCTTATTTAAATTCATTCAAGTGTACAAAAATAACTCCAAGTCTTTAATGTTACAGGTTGAGTATCCTTTATCCAAAATGCTTGAGACCTAAAGCATTTCAGATTTCAGAGTTTTTCAGATTTGGGAATATTTGCACAGACATCATGAGTTCAGCATCCTCAGCCTCAACTCCAAAATCTGCAATGCTCTTAAATCCAAAACTTTTTGAACAAAACTGAATTTCAGAACATTTCATATTTGGGGTTTTGAATTAGGGATGCTCAACCTGTATTTTGGTGTTATTTAAACCCATACACTAGCTGTTTCAGAACCACCTGCATTGTTCTATCAATCACTAAGTTCTGACATTTTTAAATGTGTGTGATTTCTCTAATAAAACTTTTCTGATAACAGTTGTAATACAAAGATATCACATCAATGTAGGATCTGATTGTAAAATCAGTATCTTCTAAAACATTCTTAAGAAATTAGCCCAGTGCAATATTACCTCCAAAACAAAAGCATCTTTTTTCCCATGTGAAAGATCTAATTCTGTAACTTCATCAGAGCTTTCTGATTGAGATCTTAAAAGTCTTGAACGTTGTCTAGGTTCTGGAATGGGTGATCCTATAATCTCTTCAGATATCTCCTAAAATAAATACAATTGTTTTATATTACATGAGTCTGTTTTCGACAGTTTGGTTTTAAACTTTTGTATTAATAGACAACTTCCGATGGAGAAAAAGTTTGTAAAATACATTCAGTGAACTATATGCAATTACAACCTCTCTGAGTACTGGTAGAAGATGCGGATATTTCCTTTTATGCAGAATGGCAGTCTTATTGGTGCACTAATCTAGAAATATATGTAACTATCACAGATACAACAAAGCAAAATTGACATCTAGCATACAGAAAAGAGATTGCAGTGAACTCAGAAAATCAGCACTCAACTATACACATGCACTGCTGTCATCATTTAAAGTCCTAATTGGCTATAAAATATTTAAAATTTATTTTCCAAGATAGGATACTAATCCTTTATATCCTTTCTTACCTGTAGTAATTTTTTCCACACAGTAAAAATGTGAAGAATGAGAAACCTAAGTGTGCATATGAGTAGATTTATATATACATATACTTTGCATGTATCTGCCATGCAATTATTATGATAATAAACTTTACTAGCTACAGTAATGATCTTTCAGTATATGGTGTCTTCTTGTATGGACTAGCGAGCTTTCCTGAGTTAACTAAACTTCTAAATCACTGTTGGCTACAGAAAGTACCAGAGGTATCTTTGTCAAACATGAGGAAACTGCAAGTAGAAGTTTTTCTAAAGTGTAGTTCTAAATATTCATTGCTAGTGCATACCCTGGAAGAAGACTACCCCTGCACAGTGTGGTAACATACAGTCTGGGGTACTTGCTCATCTGTTTCTCTTATTTGTACTTCAAATTAACCTGCTCTGTACTAACAAGATGCACACCATAGTGACTATGCAGTCACATGCAAAGCAATCGCTGTGTTTGAAAACTAAATGCACAGGAAACCTGCATGACAGGTCTTTTGATTCTCAGTGCAATGTTCCCACTAGAAACACTTCTCTTTACAATTAATTTCACAGGAGTTTAGAGTTGTTATGCCTCTGTTCACTTTATCATTGACATAATAAATGTTACCTTGCTTAACAGATTCTAAAGATTCATTATGAAATTGCATTACTACTAGTTAGTGCACAGATTAATTCTAAGCCACCACATACATTATGGTTTTCTCTCTTTAACTTTGATACCTTAGATTATCTTAATAATGTTTGATTAAGTGGCACTATACCTCTGCATTAGAAACACATTTTCAATTTCCTGATTGTATCAAGAAAACAATCAACAGCATTCACTTCAGCAGGGGCTGTCTTCCTAAAAGAAGGAACACCCTGATCCACATTTTCATAAACTGACCACTGTACAAAATTAAAGAGAGAAAGCCATAATGTATGTGGTATCTTAGAATTAATCTTGTGCACTAACTTTGTCAAGCAAATTCTGCTCAAGGACTGTCATGTGCTCAGTATCTGAAAAAAGTTAAGACACATTAGACGAGTCGCAAACTGACGCACCCTCTTATGGAAAATTTTCCTCAACACATGAAATCCAAATGGGAAGCTGTGTGACATGAGTAGCAGCTCAGTATTTATTGGATGAAGTGACTTAATTCACCTTCTTAGTAGTCATCTGTTGGTATTCATGGGAGTCTGGTCTCCCCTGAGGATACCCATCATGGATGCTCAAGCTCTTTATGAAATGGTATAGTACTGGCCCGAAACTGACCCACATCCTCACAACACTGGGATCCAATTGGCTGTGCACGTGCTAGACAAGTATTTAACCACTAAGCCACCTCCCTATCCCCTTCCTTTATGCTTCCAATCTTTCTATACGACTTAGTACCTAAGATGATGTAAGTGTAATACAAATGGTCATTACAGTCTGTTGTTGAGGGAATAATGACAAGAGAAAAAGCCTGGACATGTTCAGTACAGACACAATTTTTTTCACACATTTTTGATTCAAGGTTGGCTGAATCCACAGATGCAGAACCACCACACAGAGGGCTGACAGTACTATCATAGAGGAAGACAGACATGTAAACTAAGTACAGTGGTGTGTGACAGGTAGGTGACTGAAGAACATCAAAGTGTACTGGGAACACAGGGAACAAGCGTCATTCTTCCTCTGAGATCAGAGTGGATGCAGGAGGTGACGAACACTATTGAGGAAAAGAGTTCAGCTTTTATCACGGTAACTAACACAGAAAGAATAAATGGAGTATGAACATGTTGCTTCACAAGAATCCTCTATGAGTAGGTATTTGAGTCTCAAAATACAATTATAAAATAGTGCACAGCAAAACAAGCATTCATTCAGTATGGAACAGGCTATTTTTCAAGCATTTATCTACTAACATATAAGAACTTCTATTCAATTTAAAGAAGCTGTAAGGACTGGGGCATTTTCAAATGGCAGAGTGCCAAACAAGAGTGACCCTAAGTTCAAATGTCAGCACTGCCAAAACTTAATAAATAAAAAATAGGGTGTACATTTAGTGCTAACAGAAATATAAAGTGAGCCAAAAAGATAATAAAGCAAAAAGAAACAGATGAAGTCAGTATTGATAAAGGTTTTAACTCAATATATTCAAAACATTAAATTTTCAACATATGATAAATATAAAAATATATTTTACATTTTTTCCATACTGAGTTGTCCAAGTCCAGTATAAATTTTATGCTTACAGAAAATCTCAATTCGGATTAGTTATACACCAAGTGCCAATGGCTACCACACTGAACAGCACTGAACAGTGCCACACCAAATCTTTAAAATCTCCCTCAGCATCACAACTTTGCTTCAGTAATGTGACAAAAATTATAGTTATGAAGTGAGAATTCAGAAGCATGGTTCAGAAGATCAGCCAAAATAGGACATTATATAAAACAGGATAATAAAGATGATACAAAGTATCCTTTTGTGAAAGTGTCTATCACCAGACTCATAAAAACTAATAGCTCATCCTAACTCCACATGTCTTCATTTTAACTCCACTATGAGTGCAAATTGGCTAGCCAGGTTGACTATGGAAACAAGTGGCAAGAAAACTATAAAAAAGGAGCAGTCACTGAAATACTCTCTGTTTTCCACTCCATCGTAGCTGTGATGGAGCTTCAATGTACTGGTGATAGCAGGCAATAGACAAAATTTAAAAACCTACATGTGTGTCACATGCACATTTGTGCAGATACGCTCAGAGCAGGCCTCCCCCAAAAGAAGACATTTGAGCAAACATGGGAAAGGAGCTGAAAGAAAAACAGAGCTAACCTTAACAGTGGAAAAGGAAAAGAAAAACAAAACCTCTTATATCCAAAACAAGATGGGTGATCTAAAAATATCCTGACATCCTGACATCCAAGCATACTCAATGCATCACGGGTAGACTTCTGCACTTACCGGGGGACTGATTTCATACAGCTCTTTGTTCTTAGCGATGGTGTCGTTGATCTTCTTCTGCACATGGGACACATGCTGCTCATAGGAGCCGTCACTGGGGGTCTTCCCGGCAATCTGAATGCCGCCAGGTGTCGGTAGAGCTGCTAAATATACACCTGTGGCCGACTTGTGAAGTAATGGGAAAGAATCAGACAAGGTACCTTAGTGGTGCTTAAGTTTTCATATTTAGGAATGTGGTCCTTGTGCTGAAGGAAAAGAGATGCCAAGGTCATCTCTGGAAGGACATGAGAAACACCCTGGTACCAGGAGGGGCTCCTCTGGGGAGGAACTAATCTTAAAAGTGGACAGGCAACAGTCATGGAAGGGGAATTTACTGTTCAGTACATACCCAACTGTACTTCTTAGGTTTTATCTTATAATTGTAAAAAAAATGAATTACAGTCAAAAATAGCTTAGCAAAAAAATAAATTAAAAGTTGCTAATTTTTTTTAGTGAATGAGTAATCAACCTTTAGTAGTGGCAAAAATAAAAAGAAAACTTTTGCAATTCAAGAAACTGAAGTCCAGAAAAGATATTAAATCTACTCAATGCCCGAGTAAATAAACAGGAAGAGATTTGTATCTGTTTCTTATTCCAAAACCCATTTTCAAACTATTGCCCTAGCTCTATAATTACCATGAAATAACTCTGACTTGATACATTTATTTTAAATATTTCTGACTGTAGCAGTTAAAACATACTATTAGTATTGGGAAATACAAAACAAGCTAAAGTCTGTATGTGCATTTACACTTATGCTAACATAAACAGACCAAAAATTAAGTGTAAACATAAAATTATTAACATCAAAGTGGCAGAATGGGAGAGAGAATACTTTTAACTTTGGATATTTGTGCATTTGGACTTTTTTAAATTACTTTTTCAAGTAGCCAATTGCCAACTGTGTAAAAGTTCACCCTACAGAGGGTGTAATATGATGGCATCTGTACAACAGAAGAAACTGAGCATAGGCCTGTTCTCTCTGGAGTCCTTCCCCACCATGACCAGTTCTTGGTATTCAACCACAGAACCTACTGTGCCACATGCAGCCCTTACTCATCACCCTGGCCTTTTAAAACCAGCTCAATTCATTAAGGAGGCAAGATCCTTGAGTGGCTGAGGCCAAGAACGCAGAACCACACAGACCTGGGCTTAAAATCCAGCTCCAGCACACGCAATCACATCACTTGGGAGTCTCTGCCTGGCACAGCATTTGAATTCTCCTTTGTAAAGTGAAGACAGCATTCTATTTCTTCCAGATTAGCACAGTGTCCAACACCCAGGCAGCACTCAAAGTATTAGCTATCATACAAGCGACCTAAGATCTTGCTTACAGAGCCATAATGTAGCACAAGGAACACAATGAGAAAGTTGAAAACAGTGTCACTAGTGATCATGGTAAAGGAAAACATTAAGTATGCTTTAGAAAAGCAGTATGTAAGATAGGCCTTAAATTATATTAGTGGGGGCAGGGGAGTGGGCAGCACAGTTTGAGACTGGGTCTCTCTCTGTATAGCCCAGGATGGCCTCAAATTCACAATCCTCTTGACTCAGTGTCCCAAGTGCTAGGATTGCAGGTGTGTCTAACCACACCCAGGAACAAAGTAAGTTTCTGAGTTTGAATCCAGGTCTCAGTCTCCATCAGCACACACCAATCTCTGCAGGCTTGGATTCAGCCGGAATCACACATTTATGCAAGGTCCCTGATAAGTAGGAAAATTTTAGACCACTGAATTGAAATGAATACTTTACCCCCAAGTTAATCTAAGTATGAAGTATTTTAACATAAACGAGATCACACTTTTTTTTTTCCTTTTGGTGGTGTGGGGATTGAACCCAGGGCCTTGCTAGGCCAGCACTCTCCTACTGAGCTATAGCCCAGCCCCCAGATTACTTGCATTTTTATAATCTTCTCTTGACAAAAAAAAAAAAAATGATAGCTAATCATTATCACACAATTATCCCCTACACACTAAAGTTCACATGTTCATTCTTAGAGAAATGACACATGAAACAGAATAAGTGTGCACTTTACCTACAAATGTATACCGAAGCCACATGCCAGTGGCTCATGCCTACAATCCTAGCTACTTGGGAGGCTGAAATCAGGAAGATCATGTTTTAATGCCAGCACAGGCAAAGAGTTTGCAGGACCCTATCTCCAAAACAACCAGAGAAAAATGGACCAGAGGTGTGGCTCAAGAGGTACAGCGCCTGCTTTGTGAGCACCTGCTTTGCAATAGTGAAGTCCTGAATTCAAACACCAGCCTACCCACCCAAAAAAAAAAAAAAAGTGCATACTGAGAAAAAGATTTCAAGTTCCATAAATTTCTTAAAACTAAGTATCTATGCAGGTCTTAAAAAGATGCTGAGAGAACTACAATTTGAAAAGCCAGTACAAAGACAACAATCCTGGCTAGTAAAGTGCCTAAAACATGAGAGGACTTCCATAAATACTGATCAGATTCCATATGGTGACATGTTTTGCAGATACAGTTCTCTGGGTCTCATACTGCTTACAGAGATAGCAACATCTTTGCAGTCAGAACTCACTTTCTAACAAACCAAAGTAAAGGTAAAGGGAGAGATTTTCCTGCCTCATATGTTATCAGCACTTAAGAACACACATTTTATTTCATATTTTACTGTTGGCTATATGCACACACTTGTGATGAAGCCTAATTCTCTGTCCAACAGTAGATAGTGTCTCATGTTTTGTTTTATTCTTACCATTCAAAAGAAAGATTAGTTGTCACATGGTCTTCATCTAGGGGACAATTCTGCCCCGAGAGACATTTGGCAATGTCTGAAGACATTTAGGGGTACTACAGCTAGAACGGTGCATGCCATTAGCACCCACTGTGAAGGCTGGAAGTGGTGGCTAAATATCTTATAGTGAACATGCCAGCCTGCAACACAGAGTCATCCTTCCCAAATAGCAACGAGAAACCCTGCTTTAGTAATATATAAACAATAACAAAGTCCAGATCAATGGTGGCCAACTTACTAAATAAGCTACAAATGATAACTTTTAAAAGGTTAACTACTGAGGTGATGGCCACAGTCCCTTTAAAAGAGGGAAAGTGAAGCCCCGCACCAGATTCACTTCCTAAAATGTCTCCAGCCCTCAAAGGTCTTAATGTCAGCTTCCTTAGCTGAGTTTTCTTAGCTAAAGAATTGCATAAAACAGAATCTACTACATACAGAAATCACAAACCAAATCAAAAGCTTCTAAACTTACCGCTAAGCCCATCAGCATATTTTCACCCACAGTGATCTGAATTCTTAGTCCAAACAAAGCGTTCATTCCTTTGAGTTTTAGCTTGTTCATTAGCTGAGTGTGTACTTCATACTCCATAAATGGCAAGAGGTTACTGACAGCTGTGGCATTTGCTTCCGCCTGTGCTTTCTTTTTTAAGCGACATAACCTGTAAAGGAAAATAATTCTGCTCGTATTCTCTTAAGAAATGTCTGGCTGGGGTGTGACACAGTGGTACAGCAACATGTTTAGCTAAGGGTTCCCTCTTAAGCACTTGCAAAAAGAAAGTCCAATTTTTAAAATTTTCTAAGTGTGCTTAGTAAGACACTTGTCTCAAACTTATTAAGCTATACCAACAATCTTTTTTGCCATTTTTGTCACTGTGTAAGCCTTTATTAAAGTCATTATTTCAATAAACAAAAATGAAAACCTCAAAATCTCTAGAAATGAAATAAATACTGACCAACATCACTAGACAACGCAATTTAAAATCTCAGATTCCATAACGGCATGTGACCAAAGGATGGATGAAGAGCAGAGGGAAGTTAATTTGCTCACTAACAGAATGCAAAGCTTCTCAAGTATCTATGGGAAGAAAAGACTATCTTCAAGACTAATACCTGACTTCTCAATAGCAGCAATGGAAGCCGAAGGCAGTGGTGAGAGAACAATTGCAGCCTAAAACCAAACAGACAGCACAGCACAAAAGGAGCCATCTAAAGAAATACTGAAGATTGCATACACCAGGCAAAGCAAAAGAAAAGTCACAAATGGAAGGTCTCAGATACAACAGAGAAAAAAGTAAGTGGACTGGAAATATATTTCAAGAGAAAACTCAATCTAACTTTGTAATTAATTTGCTATTAAAAGGTTGCAACACTAACCAAGAAATCTACAAAGCCAGATAGTGTGACAACCTAACTCCCTCAAAAGTGAGGTATCTTCAAACATAACACCCCTTACTTGGGCCCACAAATTAAGTAAAAATAGGAGAAAAGCGTGGCAGCCCTCCCTTGCACCTGTTTTTGTCTAAGCTGTTCACCTTACAGTCAGTCACTTGGAATCCAACAAGGGGGAAACTGTCTCAAAGGAAAAGAATATCAGACTCCCCAAGACAAGTGATAACAATTGCTGGGAACCTCTCCCAAAATGAGAACTGAGAATGACCCACTGGAGCACACCTATGACTGGGATTGTTTGACCTTTCACCCCTGCCCTAATTCTTTGTCTGCTGCTTAAAGCTACAGATCATATATGTACCCAGAAGATGGCTAAAGATGGGCTGAGTGCTTACTCTGCTTCTTCCCATGGCGTGTTCCAGGCCATGTAATAAATCTCCTTTCTCTGTCTTCACCATGTCTCTTTATTTGGTTTATGGTGCTGAGTGGCTGTACCTGGTATGTGGAAGCCAAGAGTCTGGCCCTGGGGTCCAAAACTCTGGTTTCATCTCTCCCATTTATTAGCTGTGTGACCTTGAGCAGGTTCCTTAACTGACTTGTTAAATGAGTATGACTATCATTTGTACTTCTTAAGATAGTTCAGTTGATTAATCAATTTGAGGTATGCAAAGCCATGCAGAAGATTCTGGTGCACAGTAAAGGATCAATAAATGTTAGCAATTATCACTTCCAAAAAAAAAAAAAGAAGTTGAGAAAGAGGATTGTATCAAAAAACACCAAATTTGTTATGAAGAACCGGGGAGACATACTATTTTTTCTTAACAAAAGAAAATTTAGTAAGAAAGAAGTAGAAAAAGCCAGCAGTTCAACTTGGAACAAGTATGTGACACCTGTGATTCATCAAGATGGGGCGTGAAGAAGACAGGTAGTAGAGTCTGGGCCATTTCTTGATTTTTGAGAGCTGTATGTTTGGACCCTCTATCAATTCATTGATCCATATGCTCACGCCTGTAATCCTAGATACTCTGGAGGCAAAGATTGGGAGGATCACAGTTTTAGGCCAGACCAGGCAAAAAGTTCTTGAGATCTCATCTCAACTAGTTGCTGGGCACAGTGGTACATGCTTGTCATCCCAGCTACAAGAGAAGCACAAATAGGAGGATCGTAGTCCAGGCTGCCCTGGCATAAAGGGGGACTATTTCAAAAATAACCAATGAAAAAGGGCTGGTGGAGTGGCTCAAATGGTAGAGTCCCTGCCTAGAAAGCATGGGGCCCTGAGTTCAAACCCCAATATCCCCCCAACAAAAAAAAAAAATCAAGAAACAAAGAGGAGTCAAGGTGGAAGCTGAAGACTTCACAAAGGAGGAAGAACACTAGATGTGACATCACAGGAATTTCAAGGAGAAAATGATCACCTGTGTCACTACTGCTGAGATTTCAAGTCAAATGAGGACAGACATGGCCAATGAGTCTGGTAACACAGCAGTTGGTAGTGATCTGCACAGCTATAACTGTTTGCTCTCTGTGTGTCACAATTTAGGATCTCCTACTCCACAGCACTTTAATTGAGAAGTAAAAGAAACACTACACAGCACTATTCTTTAAAAGAAAAAAATATCATCTTCCATAATACATATTTATTGTCTTTAAAAGAGTCTACATTCAGTCACATCCCTTGCCTATAAAAAACACTTGTACAGAACTGAACTGTTTAAGAAATGCTCTCCCATATAAACTGTTTTGAGTTTAGAGGGTATTTTTCCTCCCAATGGGATAGGCACTAAAATACAAGGTTCCAATAGAACTTCCAGCTTATTCAGGCCCAAACAGGTAGAAAACACAAATATTTACAAACAGGGCTATGACTCACAATTTTTCAAGGACACCAAACACAGTTTTCACAAACACACCTTGCTTGAATGAGACAACCCTTCCCAACAACTGCTGCATCAGTTGGGAGATCTATAGTTGTGAAGAGCACGTCAGGGACCTTTTGCTTTCTGCAGTTGTAGCAGTAGGTGAGATGGGCTGGAAACGGCATGTTCAGCTCATCATAAGGAATATGGCAAAAGCCACAGCCCACAGGCATGTTTTCATCAAGCCTATACAAACACATTAAAAATAACAGTAAGTGCACTGGAAGTGTGGCTCAAGTGGTAGAAGCCTTCCTAACAAGTGCAATGCCCTGAGTTCAAACCCCAGTAGCACAAAATGATGATGATAATAATAAGGCATTCTACCCTGGGTACAACCCCCAGTCAACAACAAACAGATAAAAACCCAGGGCATTCTTGAAAGACATACAAAGGCATTCTACCCTGGGTACAACCCCCAGTCAACAACAAACAGATAAAAACCCAGGGCATTCTTGAAAGACATACAAATTTTTTTCAAAAACAAATATTACACACACAGTACTTACATACAGACTGTATAATTTAGACCATAGGAGAGCAGTACTATCACTATGACTGATGAGAATAACTAGTGACTATGAAATAAGAACCATACATTGTTTCTACGAGAGAAAAGTCATTCTGTGCCAGTTCTATGCTTGATGACTCACTACTTGACAAAGATGACTGTTGTCCCAAAGATTTTTTTGGGGGTGGGGGGGAGGGAGGAGAATAGCACATATAAAAAGATGGTAACATTTTCTTATTGGTTAACAAATATAAATACAAAAAAAATTCCTAAGCGAGAAAAATGCTCAACCAAACTAATCTAAAAATGTGAAAACAAAATTTACATAAAAACAAGTATATTTAAAAAGAAAAACCAGTAAGTTAAAAATAGGCATACTGTGAGATTTCTTATTTCCAATACTTATTTTAATGTTTCTGAAAAACCAACACGTTTCATAAGAGACATGCATGCCACAGTATGCCACAAACGAAGCACTCACAACCTCCATGCACTGTTCTGTTGGCCTGGACTGTCTGTGAATTCGTTTAGAATGATTACTTTTCAGGTCTGTGAATTCACTTTAGAAGAATTAATTACTTTTCAGTTACTCCATCTGAGGAAGACAAGACACACGGAATGGAAACACAGGAAGCTCTGTGGAGAAACTAGACTTCACATGGCCACATCTTCCAGGGCCCAGGAAAGAAGTGGGTCTTGATTGCCCTAATCTAAAGCTAGAAGGTGAAACTTGGAAATTAAACTGAAGGAAAACCTGAAGGACATGCACTAGGAGGCAGGCTTTCTGAGACTCCTTATCTATGTTTTTTCACTGAATTTTCATGATAACCCTCTAACTCACATTAAATTACTTTCCCATATTATCCTTTTACTGTGGAGATGGCATCCTGGTAGGTTATCAACATGACTGAAGTCAGATCTGAGTGACCCTGTACAAGTTATTTTAACCTCTCAGACTCTACAAAACAGAAAATATCTACCTACAAGTGTTTTGCAGAGTTTATTTTTGGAGATTAAGGAAACTACAAATAATTCCCACCCCCCTCCCCCAATACAATGCCAGCACAGAAACAAGCAGTAGGTCCACGGAGATTGAAATTAACCGAGATACTAACTTTAGTAAGTCACTCTGAGCAATAAGTAGCTGAATTCCAGTTTATTTGAGTCCAAAGCCCATGTGTCAGTAGGGAACAAACTGGAGCAAGTTTTAACTAATAGCGTCACACAAACTGGAATGCTAGTGGTGCAATATCATAAGGCACAAGGCAAGAGCACTGATGAAAGCATGTGAAATACGAATGCACAGAGGAACTTTCCCCACATGGTGAGAGCAAGGGACTTATTTTTCTTTCTACTCTCCTACATTCTGCAATATTTTTCTAGTAGGCACTAGTAATTTTATAGCAGAAAAAAAAAGATGTTTTTCTCTTTAACAACTAGGGATAGCATCCGTTGTACTGGATGTCCATTTAGAGAATTCATTTTATCTGTCTAAGCCACAATAGAGAAAAATCCACGCAGCATGGGACAGATTATTTGTTAAATGAAGCCGCTACTTAGGAGTGAAACTGAACTGGGAATGCAGCTCAGTAGTAGCTGTGTGTAGCTTGCCAGCACACATAAAGCCCTGGGAGTACTGTTACCACTGCAATTAACCAACCAACCAACCAATCAATAACATCTCCTAAGAACTATATTGCAGCACAAGGACAAGTCACTGGCAAAGGCAGTTTTCTTAGTAGAGTATTCAATTGTTGAATATGATTCAAAGTGTACCCTATCTGTAACTTCAAAGGCCCCAGAATACAGAATGGTCAACGCCCATTTTAGTATTGCCAGAAGAAGCAGGCCAAGGTCCCCACTACCAGAGCTAGAATACCTCTCTTAACTGTACAGAGACTTGACGTATACGAAATCTGACAGATATGAATGCTTCTAGCATGTTCCTTAATTTATACTTAATACATTATTACTGGGGGAAAAGCAAACACATGTACTGTGGCATGAAGGGGAATGAAAGCTCACTTGATCCAGGCAGACTCTGATATTAATACACACACACACACACACACACACACACACACACACACACATACACACAAACACTTATAGATTTAGATACTTAAATTCTGATTTTTGTATATAATTTAAGTACATATTTAGTGTATACATATATGTATATGTGTATATATATATATATATATATGCTTATAGAAAGCATTTTTGACATTGATGGAAGCTAACAGTTTAAAAGTTTAAAGGGACCGACGACTCAGTTAAAAAAAAAAATACTCATTTTACCTAATGCTGTCACTTTCTGCTTCACATGCATTAAAGTTTAACTTCCCATGAAATTTTTATGCATACTTTTGTGTAATATTGCACTTTGATTATTTTATGAATTAAGATTTTTCTTTATGAAAATTGCTTCACAACCTCTTTCTTTCTTGGAAGGTGAGACAAACAGAAAAGAGGGAAAGTCAAATAACAAAGCCAACAAAGTATATGTAAAATTCTTCCACTGACAGTCTTCATGTCATTCACCAAGACATGAGGAACAATGTGTGTGATACAGTGTAGAATCACGTACTTCTCTGTTACCTCAAGTTAGTTAAAAACCAGTGAAGTGCTTGGCCCCAAGGTCTACACTGCATCACTGTAAGCCACCTTTACAGAGAACTATCCCAGCTCTGAAGAAAAAATAAAAAATCAATCTCTCCCTTCTCTGCCCTTATGGAAAATAAGCCAGGCTGCCAAGACAACCTCTGATCCAAACAGCCCTCCACGATGCCATCCTGCAGAAAGCGGGGGTTCAGTACCGCTGCCGTGCCAGACGCAGACAAAATACAGACCTCTTCACTAGAAGAAAAAAGATGCCACAAGTTAGGATTAGCAGGCAACATACTTTGTGAGATTCTAAATACCAAAATGATTAAAAGAGTGACAAATCAGACGCTACTACAGATTAAATACCACTACCTAGGACAGAAAATAGAATTAAGATTATTAAAATGGAGAGGGCAACAATTCTTTATAAACTAAAAATTGAGAAGATAAAGTACAATATTAATGACAACAGCTTCCTGAATATTAAAATCATTCAAGCTGTAAACAGTGACAAACTATATTACTGAACTCAGTGATAATTCATTAAATTGTATTCAGATACTCAATTGCTTAGTTTTATTTAAATTATCCTAAAAGCATAACTATGCAAATATTGATTCTGCTATGCTTAATCTGAATTAGATTATAAAAGTATCTAAAATATACTAAAATGGAGCTTAAACTGCATCAAAATTATTAAGTTCTTTATTACACATGACCTAATTTGAAAGCTAAAATAATTAAATAATCAATATAGCCACTGGATGATACTACCTAAAGCAAAGGAGACAGGCAGCAGCCTACGGACAAAGTACCTGAAACAAGGAGCAATCAGAGCAGACTCCTACAGGCACATGGAAGAAAGTCACCCAAACGCCAAGTGAGTAGAGGAATGCCAAGCTTACCAGGTAGGAGGGCACTGAGGATGCCAGAAGGAACATGGAGCCTCGGAAGATTTCTGAATCAAGGAGTTTCAAAAGTGGAAGTGCACTCCAAAGAATTTATTAGTAACAGTAGGAAAGATGAGATGCAACAGAAGAAGTGAATAAAGATGAGACTTAAGCTACACATGGTGGAACATGTCTGTAATGCCAGCCCTGGATTGCTGAGGCAAGAGGATGGAGAATTCAAGGCCAGCCTGAGCTACACAATGGCAGCCTGTCTCAAAACAGCAAGAGCTGGGCATGCAGCTTGGTAGAGGGCTTGCCTAGTATGCACAAAGCCCTGGGTTCCATCCCCAACACGGTAAAAAAAAGATGGAATTTAAATATATATTTTGAGGTATAGAAGGGAAAAGGAAAGGAGTTTCTGACAGACGAATTAATCTTTCAATAAATTCATTGGACTTGTGTAGAAACTTGCGTCTGTGACCCATCTTCAAACTTGGTGGACAAGTTGTAGGCTCTTGTGCTTGTGGACTATCTTTAGCCATGCTGAGGCTACACCTTCTGGCATTCTTCACACGGCACTCCTTCAGCCATGTGCATTCCCCCACACCTCTTCTCTTCCTTTATGTGTACCCCCCCCAAGTTTCAGATCAAGTGACGGTAGTCACTGACACTCTCTTCTAGCCCCCAGAGCCCTGAAGCATCCTGAGATGTGTCAGTCACAGCATTCATCATACTTGTTACATGTTCCAATGAAATATAAACCTGATGGCAAGAACTATGCCTTGAAACTATGTCTTGGAAAGCAAATGACACTGAATCCATGAATGAGGCAAGACTGCCTAGCAGAGTATAAAGCACAATAGGTGTTGCTACAAAGTTGGTACTAGCAAGAGTAGAGCAGCTACTGTAGGATAGAAGAATTCACAATTACAACACAGCAAGGAAAAGCCCACAGAAGATCAGATGGCCCACCACGACTACATTTTCATGATCTTTCTCTAACGATAAAAAACACCACAAAGGCAAAGAATCTGGATGTAAGAATTATCCAAGAATAAGGAGGGCTCAGTGGTCCACACCTATAATCTACACTTGGCATGTAGAGGTTGTGAGGATAGAACATCAAGGCCAGCCGGGGGTGGAGTGGGGGAGTTCACAAGAATCCCATCTCAATGAATAGTGAGACATGGTAGTGTACATGCAAGGCCCTGAGTTCAACCCACAGCACGGCCCAAAAAAAAAAAGAATTATCTAAGAACATAAGATGGAAAAATAGAACAGAAGATGGTCAAAAGTTTCTAAATGACGTCAATCATAAAATCAATCACAAACTTTAGAAGGGGCTGAAAGTGGGCTGAGAGATGTAAAATAACAAGTAAAGCCAGAATGGAAGAAAAATACTGAACATAATAAGGGTCAAAACAAACGAGGTGAAAAGGAGCAAATGAGACTGGTGGGAAAATATTAAATTGTAATCTGAGAGTAAAATTTTATGGCTTCAAGTTTTTAAAGAATAGTTTCAAAAGCTAATGAAGTCCAAAATATGGTTGACAGTCCAGTGGCAATAGAGCAACTTGATAATAAGAAACAAGGCTGCAAGAAGGGAGATAGCCATGCACAGCTGGAGAGGCAGCAGAGAAGTAAGAAAGGCAGAAGATGAGTGGAGGGAGAAGAATGGCACTCCCTGGCTCTATAGAAAGGTCAAGAAAAAGCAGCTGAGAATCAAGAGTCTGGAAACCCTTCCTAACCTGACAGAGCTGTGCGGGATGATTTGTTAGCAGGACAAAGTTACATTCCAGTTAGTAAAGGGAAGCAGAATGAGTATACAAACTTTAAAGACATTAAGCAATTCATTTACAAACGTGGAAGGAATAAGCAAAGTCACCAACCAGAGTAAAACAGACTTACAAACAGCAGACATTAACATTCTCCTGCAACCCTGAAGACCTAATGGGTAGTCTGTGTCATTTCCATTGAAATGAAAAACCCAGCAACATTCCCCACACAAGATTAAGTGGAAGGATGGTGTCCAAGGCCCATGCTCTCTTCTTTGTATCTGTATAAAGTTCTCCCCTTTCAGATGACAGTCTAAACTAGCATCTAGAAATCCAAGTTATTATCATTTACCAGATGCTGGTGGATTCACTGTAGCCCACTACAGCATGACAGCCTAATGCTTTAGCATGAGATTTTATTTCTTGTCTGATTTCTGCCCACCATGCATCTCGAGTTTCTGGTTCATCTGAAAAATAAATTTTAAATCAGTTGACTTCTCAATAGCACATGTTTATGAACAAGAACCATTTAAAATAAACATAACTATGGGAAGTAAAGAAACAGTGCTCTACAACAGATTTTCAAACTTCTCATCTTTAAAGTGCTACTTGTCAAAAAGAGTAAGATTTCACATTTTAAACTTGGTTGCTAGAAAAGAAGCCACTCAGTTCTCTTTGCTTTTTACTTTAAGGAACACCTACAGACATGAACTTTATTATCTATGACTTAAAATGTAGACCCAGACTTTTTAGATTCTATTGTCATCTGAGAGGATACCCTGTGACCTCACTGAATGAACACCTTTACTGTCAGACACATAAATTTAAAATAAATTCTAAGTTCATTTCCTGGCACCTACTTTTTTTATAATCCACCACATTCTGGATTCTGTCCAAGGCAAATATTTAGCAATTTAATAAAGAAAAAACCATACATAGCCATCTTTCTATAGTTAGTGATGCAGGCCCTAAAAAAAATCAAATTAAAAGAAATTAAGGGACTAACATATCCAAAAAAAAAGGAAAAACATGGCATAATACATTAAAAAAATTAATACAAGTAGTTCAGCTAATGTGTAGAAGGGCAAAGTTCAGACAGAACATTATAAACTCCACATATGGCTGTGTAAGGCGGAAAGTGGCTTACATGGCATGGAGGTCTGCACTGTGTTCCTGGCTACTTGGGAGCTGAGACAGGAGCATCCCTTGTGCCCACCAGTTTGAGACCAGCCTGAACAACAAAATACTGCTGGGGGCTGGGGATGTATCTCAGTGGTAAAGTGTTTGTCTCACATGGGCTTGGGTTCAATCCCCCGTAACATCAATAACAAAAATGACCTAGAATTATAGAATTGTATTTCATGGCCACAGGGAAGTCTACCGTTGCTTGTAATGGAGCATTATAAACAGAGTGACAGTCACACATTCTTCATAATTACGGGGGAACAGCAGCTAAGCTTTTTATGTGCAAAGGTGTTAAAAATGGAAACAGTCCTGATTTGTTTCTTTTTGTGACCCATTCCCATGTGGGAACAACATGAAACTAACTAAGGTGCTAAGCTCATACTGTAAATCCTCCTAATAAAACATACTACTAAAACTGAAAATCAAACACTAGTTTCTATTCTTTAATTGCAGTATCATTCAATTTTCAAAATATATTTTTCAAAATAAATGAAAAAAATAGAATTATACTCACTAGTAAAATAATGAGGAAGCAAAGTAGAGAAAGGCTGAGCTGTGACAGCTCACAGTCCTGCCATGTATTTTATCTCCTCCACAGGGAGGAAATGGGCAAAAGGGAGAAGTGAGATAAAAGCCAGAAGTACAAATGATGCCAGCCAGTTCTTGAATTAAAGTTTGGATTCAAGATGCAGCTACTCTAAAACTTTCTTTCAGAAGAAAAGAAAGAAATGCAGACTCAGGAAACTCAGAAAAAGATCAAAGTACGAGATAAAATAAAAAAGGAAGAAAAATAGAAGACATCAACATTAGGAACAGAGAATGGTGTGAAAAACCTGGGCCTACTTTGCATATTCAGCACTGTGCTCAAGGCCTTCTTCATATTCCAACTGAAGTGTCTGCATTACCAGCACAGACACACTGTAAACCCCATTCTTGCTTTTGCTCGTAAGATGCATGTGCTTGTACCAATCTGAACATCCACTAACATCCTCCTTTCCTAGAAGGAATTTAATAAGACAACTATTATTCAAGTAGCTGTCCCATCTACCAAATTATTTATGTTTCTGAGAAAACAGGACCCGTAGTAATAGAGACAGATCTACTGTAGCAAATGATCGTTTGTCTGAAACACCACATCAGAAAAGCCAGTGATTTTTCTTATACCCACTAGTAATCTGCCACTTACTGTCTAAACCATTCTAGATGTTTTAAAAATTATTCTCTTGAGCAAGTAATGCTACATATGCTATTTTTAAAGAATAGATTTTCTCACATTAGGTTTGCCTATATCTGTACCCAAGTAATAATGATCTCTTCTGTTTTAAAAATGAATTTTATAGGAAAAATCCACAATATAAATTTTTAAATTAATGAAAAAGTGGAGGAATCTACTTATTTGGAGTTCAAAGAAGACTTATTTGTAAATGGGCAGCGTGTCTAAATGGAAAAGTATGTGATAACAATTCCTGTGAGATATGTGTAATCACATAGAATACAAAGTTACTTTACATCAAACTTACCTTGTTATAACACATAAAATAATCAGATAATTAAACCAAACACTATGAAGGAGTAAGTGACTGATAAAAACAAAAAAGCTGAATGCAGCGCAAGTGGAGCATTCAAATCTTCTGACAAGTTCACAAGCAGCCTTTATTATGACACATGAGCCACACAATTGCACGAGATGCTATTACTGTATTTAATAGTGTTTACAAGTTAATACAAAGCTAAGGAGTTACATAACATGGAGCGAAGGCAGCAATAGCATATGTCCATACTCCAAGAGTTTGTTAATTTGGTTTTGGGCTGAAGCAAAAGCTTAAGGAACAAAGGGTTTGCAAAGCAGATTCAGCATACAGGAGCCAGAAACAGTGATATTTTGGCGCATGCTTGGATCAGGTGACGTACAGACCAAAAACTATGGCAGCTCACTGAAATGGGGACAGAAAGTAATGGCCCTAGGTTCTCGGTGAAAGCAAGGCAGGCATACAGTAGGGAGCACTTGATCACAAACTAGTCATTGTATTACAGTAATAATCTACAACTGTAAGCACAAAGCCAAAGATGGATTTTATGGTTAATAAATTTAGGGGGTATTTACTTACAATAAAATTAAGATTAATCAAGTTATTTATTATTAAAGAAAATCTATGTTTATCTTCAAAGCTGACATTATAATCAGGCCAGAGATGAGCCATAGAATCTTCAAGGAGAAATTATGATTAAGACTAATTTATCACCAATAAAAACTCAGAAATTTCATAGTATTTAATCTCTGCAATAGAATTTTTAAGGTTTGAAACTACTAATTACATTTTTATAAGAAACACTAAGAATCTGAATTGCTTTATTCACCCTACAAAAATAAAAAATTGAGATTCTACCATGTTTACATGAAAGGCAAAATAGAGTCTAGTTAAAAAAATTATGGCAATGCCACATACGAGCCTGGATTACATTATTTGATGTGATGTCGGCTGGGGGCTGGGCTTAAGATGTAGAGTGCCTGACTACAGCTGTGATGTGAGCTCAGATTTAATAAACATTTCAAAGACAGTAAGAACTCTCTTCACTTTCAAAACCACACAGCTCCCAATAATCTGTACAATTATTTATAATTATAGAAAGATATCATTGTAGGGAAAATTAAAATTTAATTATATAAATTGTATTTCATACTATTGTTAGGTTTTCTTCTATGGGTATGTCACAAATCTCTGAATATATATATATATTTTTTTCTTTTGGAGATTTTAAGTTTTGTTTTTTGTTCCTTTTTCTTTTATTATTCATATGTGCATACAAGGCTTGGTTCATTTCTCCCCCCTGCCCCCATCCCCTCCCTTACCACCCACTCCACCTCCCCCCTACTCCCCGCTCAATACCCAGCAGAAACTATTTTGCCCTTATTTCTAATTTTGTTGTAGAGAGAGTATAAGCAATAATAGGAAGGAACAAGGGGTTTTGCTGGTTGAGATAAGGATAGCTATATAGGGCATTGACTCACATTGATTTCCTGTACATGGGTGTTACCTTCTAGGCTAATTCTTCTTGATCTAACCTTTTCTCTAGTTCCTGGTCCCCTTTTCCTATTGGCCTCAGTTGCTTTTAAGGTATCTGCTTTAGTTTCTCTGTGTTGAGGGCAACAAATGCTAGCTAATTTTTTAGGTGTCTTACCTATCCTCACCCCTCCCTTGTGTGCTCTCGCTTTTATCATGTGCTCATAGTCCAATCCCCTTGTTGTGTTTACCCTTGATCTAATGTCCACATATGAGGGAGAACATACGATTTTTGGTCTTTTGGGCCAGGCTAACCTCACTCAGAATGATGTTCTCCAATTCCATCCATTTACCAGCGAATGATAACATTTCGTTCTTCTTCATGACTGCATAGAATTCCATTGTGTATAGATACCACATTTTCTTAATCCATTCGTCAGTGGTGGGGCATCTTGGCTGTTTCCATAACTTGGCTATTGTGAATAGTGCTGCAATAAACATGGGTGTGCAGGTGCCTCTGGAGTAACAATCTTTTGGGTATATCAGGGTATTACTGGATCAAATGGTAGATCAATGTCTAGCTTTTTAAGTAGCCTCCAAATTTTTTTCCAGAGTGGTTGTACTAGTCTACATTCCCACCAACAGTGTAAGAGGGTTCCTTTTTCCCCGCATCCTCGCCAACACCTGTTGTTGGTGGTGTTGCTGATGATGGCTATTCTAACAGGGGTGAGGTGGAATCTTAGCGTGGTTTTAATTTGCATTCCCTTTATTGCTAGAGATGGTGAGCATTTTTTCATGTGTTTTCTGGCCAGTTGAATTTCTTCTTTTGAGAAAGTTCTGTTTAGTTCACTTGCCCATTTCTTTATTGGTTCATTAGTTTTGGGAGAATTTAGTTTTTTAAGTTCCCTATATATTCTGGTTATCAGTCCTTTGTCTGATGTATAGTTGGCAAATATTTTCTCCCACTCTGCGGGTGTTCTCTTCAGTTTAGAGACCATTTCTTTTGATGAACAGAAGCTTTTTAGTTTTATGAGGTCCCATTTATCTATGCTATCTCTTAGTTGCTGTGCTGCTGGGGTTTCATTGAGAAAGTTCTTACCTATACCTACTAACTCCAGAGTATTTCCTACTCTTTCCTGTATCAACTTAAGAGTTTGGGGTCTGATTGAATATATCCTTTTAGCTGAACTGAGTTTTAAATACCTCGCCAATGCTTCTTTTAGAGATAGAACACATTGGGATTAGTTCACTTGACTATGTTACTTTTCTAGAGAATGGCC